GCGTTGGGCGGAGCGTTTTTTGATGCCTAGCGTTAACGCCAAGTGCCCTACCTAAACAAAAGCGGTATCTCAGAAAACCGTATTCAGAATGCCCTATTTCAGATTTTTATAGAAAAACACCTATCTCATAATTTGGTTGAAGAACGCCCTACCTCAGCTGGAAATACATTAAAAATGTGCTGAGACAGGGCGTTTTTCAATCACCAGCTGAGATAGTGCGTTCTTCAACCAAATTATGAGGTAGGGTGTTGTTCAATCAAACCTCTGAACCTTCTTGAAAATTTTTCGGAGATAGGGCGTTTTCGAACTGGCTATGGAGATAGGTCGATCTTCCTCTCAGGTATCGTTATAGTCTAAGAAAAGTTTCTTAGATTACCAGAATGTTTTTTAGTAAGCGGCGCCATAGCGGTTTTTTGTGCGGTTACTTTATTTGTGATTCACATACATCAGGGCGGAAAAGACTTGCAGTCCTGTGAAACGTTTAAGTCCCTGTTTAAAAAGTAGTTTTTGAGTTTCATAATGAATAAATGCTTTATATGTACCAAAAATATTCCTATTCCTGAAGCTTTGATGTTTCACCTAAAAAAAAATACATAATCTCAAAAAATAATACAAAAAGTTGAAAAATAAGCAAACGAGGCTTATTTGGGCGTCACCAAAGAGCAACAATGAACTGTCCTTTCGGAACCATTACTTCAGCAAGACAACCTTTCGGAGCTTGTACAGTAATTACGGTGACCTTCCTTCCTTTATGTTAAAGGACAGTCCTTTATTTTAACCCCCTGCCCTGCATAATTTTTTATTTATTTCCAAAATAAGGGACGCCTCTTGTCCTTTATTTCTTCAACTTTCCTTTAAAATAGCTATGGATTTAAGAGGTAAATTTTTCAACAGAGAATATGAAAAAATGTATACTGCCCTTATAAAATATAATAAAAATCTTCGCCAGTTTGTTTCGCACCCCACTTAGGGTTTTTATTTAATCGGTAATCCCTTGTACAATCTATAAATCACGAATCATTGCTAATACTGATAGGAGAAATTTATATAATTGAAAAAATAAACTAATATTTAGACATTTTCCTAGAAAAATTAATATACTTTGAGTAAATTTCATACTTCTCAAAAGCACAATGAAAGTTTTGCTCAGGTTTCCAGTGCACGCTAGGATCCTAGTTCCACTGGAAAAGAACATTAAACCCCCACTGGCTTCGACAAGTAGCATGGATTATGATAAGCGCATTTGCCAAAGATTCATTGGTTTAATTTTTCAGAATCGGTTGAAATCCGGTTACAGCACAGTTCAGAACGCAATGAAGATAAATTTTTTTGTTTTCATCGCTATACTCTTTGTCGCTTTCCGCTTCACGATGTGTTGCCAAAATAAAGTACACTTTGCAGAGGTTTTCAAGAACATTTCTTAATATATATCGTCATTAAAAGTACAAAACGGCGTATCGTCGTTCTGCAAACCCGCAATCCTTATCCATTCGTCCTGAAATATATTAGCCAGAAATGCGATCGCTTTATAAAAAAGAGAACCATTTTAAAATATGAGTGTTTTAGTCTCTAGAAAATAATTTATGCAACCTCACTTACGCGGTTTTGCATTATCTTGATACTCGGTTTTGCATTTTGTTGATACGCGGTTTCATGATACAAAAAACAAGGTAGTTCCATTGTCACTTTTTCGTCGCCATATTAACAACCTGACAATTAAGCAGATTGTGACATTTCGTGCTACCATACCCAATATCTAAAATCCTTAAAATTTTCATATAGGCTGCGTTTCTTTATACATTCCGGATAATCCCATTTCACAGCCGGAATAAACAGAATACGTTTGAAACATACGCTAAGATATCATCAGGAACGTTCTGAAGAATAAGTAAACAAAAAAGTTTATTCCAAACGTTCAGAATGAATAAAGAAATGCAGTAATAATTTTTTTGTCGATTTAAAAATATTTTGTACATTACATGTACATTTTAAATTGTGTGAAAGCTGACAGTTTATAGAATTCAGTAGCGACGAAAACAAAGGGGGGTTAAGTCGTTAAACCTTACCTAAGCCGATCATAAAACTTGCGACGCAATTTCAGCTTACGCCTATGGGTCTTGGCAAGAATGTAATCCCTGAAGGTTTAGCTTAAAATGGTTCTCGGGATACACCCTGTGATCATTTTACTTTCCAGAAGGAGTCGCGCCCGTTTTTTCTGTACATATTTCCGTTGGAAAAATACCTCATCTCAGTATTCTAGGTAAATGCTTCCAGAGGTATCTATGCGTCACAAGAATTATAGTTTATTTGGTTTATACCGCTAGCTCTTTTCAATGGCTACGAGATCGTTTTCATATACCCCCATTTTTCATAGGTTTGGGATTGGTTTCATTTACCTCTATTCCAAGTTCTACGGGGCACGCCGCATTTTCCAATAAATCCACATTTTTCCGTGAGCTTGAGATTGATTTCATATACATATATCCATACAAAGTTCCAGGACTCTACCACAAATACTTTCAGAGATATGCACTATGAAAAATTCGATTTGTATGGGAGGTTCCACACGCCCTTTAGATATAGGTTTAGTTTTAGCCTATAACCGTTCTTGTGATAATTTGTGATTGCAAAAAATGAAATCAAATATCATAGTTGACTAAAAAAGAATATTAGACTTCATTCTCTCAACTTCTCAGAATGTAAAAAAGCTAAGAAAGATATAATAAGATAGGATATATTAAAACAGCCTCCAAACATTTACTAAAGGCGCCCCTGGACTACACAAATCAGTTTGATTGAAAATCTATTTTTATCTATTTATTTTATACTTAAATTTTGGGTGTGTCAAAATTTCATGTGAAAATAATATGTGTTGCTAGAAAAATTTTACGGCCCATGGGTCCTAAAGTAAATTCCATTTGCTGTTAAATGGACAAAGACAATAAGTATTAAATACCACATCGAAATGTGTAATTTCAGTGTCTGTAATTCAGAATCATCGTATCCGATATAGAAAACTACATTGTGAAATAATGAGATGACATGAGGACACTAAAAATATTTTAAAATATGTTCACTAAAATTGTATTAATATTAAAATAATGACCTGGCAAGTTGTTATCGAATTTAATGTAATTTAAACGCTTTTAAGATAAGATATTGATTATTTTTAAAAGGTATATATTAATACAACTATTTTCCTTATAATTCCAAATTTAGGATATAAAATCTCCCACACCAAAAAACTTACAATTGGGTAACGCCGCTTCCAATTTTTCACAATTGAGCAATTGTCAAAAATCTGCTTTTTAATCAAAAAGTTGTTTATTGAAACTACCTTCTTTTTTGTGTCATGATGTTAATCATGATTCAATAATACAAGGTTAGATAATTATTGACAGCCGCCGTTTGACACTCCCTTAGAAAAGGTTGCATTTACGAAGGTGGTAGAAACGGGAAAGAATGAAATCCCTTGGTGCGAAAATAGTAGTAGAAAAGTACGCAAAGTAGGCAATTAGTAGTGAAATTACTTGTGCAAATTGTGATGTATTTGCCTGTAATTTTGCATTTTCAAAGAAAAATTTAACGAAATATTAACAAATCTACTTAATTATGTAATATATGTGCTATTTTGTAGTATAAAAGCTACAAGAGGTCACAAAATTAAAGTCAAACTTCTGAGAATTTCATGTTACTAGTATATTTTGAAAATCTTTGTATTTTTTTAATTAAATTTGTTTTTTATAAAAAAA